CTCAGAAAGCCACACCGCCTGTCCCCGCTGGCTGATCTTACATAACTGGGATGGGTCTCCGATGTAACAACCTTTCCTGCAGCGCACAGACACACACACACACACACACACACACACACACACACACACACACACCCACCCTCTCTCTCTTACCCCCCCCCCCCCCCCACCACACACACACCCCTCCCATCCAACCTCCCCTCCAACCAGCCCGGCTCTTCTCTTTATCTCCAGAGAAAGAGAGAAATACCACAAACTGAGAAATAAAGCCATCAGCACCCCCCGCCCAGCCTTCCCAAACTCTACCCCCTCCCTTATCCCACCTCTCCACCCCCTCGCCTGGCCGGCCCCTCCACTCCCGCCCCTGCTGTGGTGAGGAGAGCGCAGCCACTGCAGGGAAATCCACTCAGCCGCTCGGCCTTTGCAGAGCAGATGTTCCACCGGCCACAGGACGGCCCCTCGGCACCGGGGCGTCCCAGATCCCAGATCCGGGACGGGGGGGGGGTTTGTGGAGGGTGGCCCTTTGAGGGGGTTTGGCGAGTGGGGTGCCTTTCTGAGACCCCACCCCACCCCGCCAATACACACACACACAACATCCCTTTTTCATCTCAACTCCTCTTTATTACCTCTTCCCCTCTTGTCTTATCGCAGACCCCCCGAATTCTCAGTCTGGCAGTCAGACGAAGCCAGACCTCACCCAGGACACAGACGCACGCATGTGCACCCCCACGCACATCACCATGCACCCCCGTGCACATACACAAGCACACACATGTACGTACACATGCCCACACACAAACATGCAAACACGTGTACACGCGTACACGCAGGCACACATACACGCGCATTCCAGCGATACGCCATCTGATCAGCTGAACCCGATGAAGGGAGCTGGACGGGCCGAAACCGCCCGCCTGCAGTTCTGTCGTCGGGCCTGCTGGCCGCAGGGGGGATTCAGGCTCCAGCTCTGGGCCCAGGTGGGAGCGCTGGGCTGCCTGCACTGACGAGCAGGGCCAATCCGTCAGAGCCCCACCTGGCAGGTAAAGAGTTAAAGACAGCCGGCGGGGGTTGAGAGCCGTGTGTGTGGCGGCGGGGCGGGGGGGGGGCAGCAGATTGTGACTTCTGCCAGCGGGGTTGGAATGCACACCTCAAGCAGGTAAGAAAGACCGCTTTGTTCCTCTGGCCGGCTGGCCGGGGACGGGTGCAGGGGGGGAGGGGAGGGGGAGCGGAGTGCGTTTCAGACACAGCAGCCATCAGACCTTACCCAGTAACCCCACCGCGGGACTCGGGGCTGTCCCACGCAGGCCAGAGAGCGGCAGCGCCCTCTAGTGACAACCAGGCCCGTCTCACATCACCCAGGTGGGGGGGGCAGCACCTCAGCAGTGGCAGAAGTGGGCCCCATCCTGCATGCAAAGAGCTCTGTGACCCTTTGGGATAAAAAGCGCTATAAAAATGCAATTCATTATCATTATTGTGATAACACAGACGGCTTGATTACCGTTGTTATTAATAACCCATGGTCACAATGAGCAACACAACACATGTTACTGTTATTGTTATCCATCCATTCATTTTCTAACCTGGTTAATCCAGTACAGGGTCGCAGTCTCTAACCCAGTAAACAACAGGCACAAGGCAGGGTACACCCTGGGTGGGATGCCAGTCCATCGCTGGGGCACACACACTCACACCAGGGCCGATGGACTGTGGATTGAAAACCCATGCTAACACAAGGAGAACTTGCAAACTCCACACGCATAGCACCCCAGGAACTGAACTAAGGGCATAAGCACTGCAAGGCAGCAATTTGACCACTGCACCACCGTGCTGCGCCTTTCTCCTTTTTATTATTAGACACCTTTAAACAAAGTGACTGATAGTACCATCTAAATATGAAACACGGATTGATATAGAGCAACACAGAACGCTGTTAAAGACTTCGCTTGGCTTGTCCTCTGACCACCTCACCTGGTGCCTCAGGCCAGGTGAAGTTCAATCCTGACATGAATTCACGTAGGCCGGCACAGTGGTTTGCATTGCCGCCTTGCGGTGCTGGAGTCCTGGGTTCACATCCTGAGGTGCTGTCTACATGGAGTTTGCACGTTCTCCCTGTGTTTGTGTGGACTCCCTCCACAGTCCAAGGACAAGCGGGCAGGTTCATTGGCTTCTGGGAAAACTGGGCCTGGTGTGAGAGTCTGTGTCTGTGTGTGCCCAGTGATGGACTGCTGTCTTGTCCAGGGTGCACCCTGACGTTTACCCCCTGTTTGCTGGGATGGGCTCCAGTCCACTCTGACCCTGAACTGGATGAAGCAGACAGAAAATGGATGGAATCATTCACAGAACTGCTCTTCCCGAGATGGCGGTGCCCTGCCCACTTCCCATGAAGGGAACAGGGTCTATAGCCGTTGCTATGGGAAGGGCCTTTCCACTGCCTGAGATCCTTACTGTCGCCCCTTGTTTCTCAGCTCCAAAAGCCTGACCGTGCTGTTACCTTCCCAAACCGTACTGAGGAATCTCAGCTCCGCAGGGCTGCACGGTGTGTTCTCCTTTTGTTCCGGGGCCCTAAAATTGAGGATTCTGCCCACTGCCAGCATGCTGCAGAAAGGGAAGGAACCGCTGTCACATGGCGGCTGGTCAGGGTTCGAGGTGTGGGAGGGGTCCTACCAGGAATCAAGAGCGGGGGACTTCCCAAATTCCCCAACACACAGCCAAGCCTCCAGCCTACTCCTCCTCCTCCTCCCCCCCCCCCAAAGAAAACAGGGGAGCCGATCTCTCATTACTGAGGTCACAGTGGTTTGGGGTCTGAGACAAACACTTAATGTTCCTCTGCTTTCAAGGGGACTTTCCATTGACTCTGTTTATTTGTCCTTCTCAAATACACACCACACAGGGTGCAAACGGAGTAGAAGGAGAATGTTTTCACAAATATTATATTTCTCTCTCTCTGCCCTCGGCCCCCTCAGTCTCTCTCGGTCGCTCCCGTTATCTCCCCTGTCTGTGTATCTCTCTCTCTCTCGGGCTGCTGGGCCCGTCTAGACAGCCCAGCCCCCCCGAACCGTCTGTAGTGACCGCAGGGAGCTCTGGCCCCAGGTTGGGTCCGCCGGACCGGACCGGACTGGGCCGGGCCCTGTCCTGCCCGGCGCTTCTCCTCCCCCCCCACTGCCCTTCCTCGCTCCCGACTCCCGTGCCACGGCGGCCGGCGCCAGAGCTGCTGCGGAGACCTCGGGCCCCGGGCTCGGGGCGGGGCACGTCCCGCAGTGTCCGTGCTCCGGCACGCAGCGTTTCCACTCTCTTCCTCTCAACATGGTGTTGGGCGGCGGGGGACGTACTTGTTTAGGTTTAGGTCAGTGAGATTTCTGTCTGTTTTCTGCCTTGTTTCCGCGCATCATCGTCATTTCACATTTTTTTCCAAGTTTCCCCACATTGTCCCTTCCGGTATGTCCATAGCCGGAAAAGGTGTAGGGATTGTTCCCGATGACGTCAACCTGGAATGTCCCCCCCGCTAATTGTCAGTTACAGGTTTTAATTGAAGCCGTTCTGCGATGTTATCTCGCCGTGTCGCCTCTCCTCTAACCGACTGACAGCAGGCTGAATCTCTCGTTAGTACAGGGTCCTTCACCTACAACTTCACATCCGAAACTATTAGAATTTCCCACTCAAACGGACAGAGATCCAAAGTCTAAAACAAAACACAAAATCTAATTCTAGATATTCGAATCAGTGGACGTCTTCCTCCGTCCACGTTATACAGTACGAGTCCCAGCGGCTTAGCTGGCTGGTTTATTTACGTGGAAATAATATTAACAATATGTAACGTTTGGTGTTGGTGTCTTTGTTCAGCACTTTAGCATACGGGTAACATTCGCACGTGTGTGTGTGTGTGTGTTAATTTGCAGTTAAGCTTTGATCACTCTTAACTCTGTGTAATTAAAAAAAAAAACCAAATATATACTCAGCGGCAGGGTGGGGCAGCAGTCAGCATTGCTGCCTTACAGCGCTGGAGCCCTGGGTTCAATTCTGGGCCTGCGTGCTGTCTGTGTGGAGTCTGCATGTTCTCATTGTGTTGGTGTGGGATTCCTCCAGGTGCTTCATTTTCTTCTCAGTCCAAAGACATGCTGGCAGGTTAATTGGCTTCTGTGAAAACTGGCCCTGCTCTGTGTGTGTGTGTGCGTGTGCGTGTGCGTGTGTGTGTGCCCTGTGATGGACTGGTGTCCCATCCAGGGTGTACCCTGCCTTGAGTCTGTTGCTTGCTGGGATAGACTCCGGTTCCCCTGTGACCCTGACCTGGAAGGAGTTAGAAATATATAACTGGAGTCACTAGAAATGCAACAAATGCCATTGATTCCAACACCATATGGAGGTGTTTTTAATGACTCTTAGTATAGTGAATATATACTAAGATATACAGTATATCTTTAGGGCCAGTATTTAAAACCTAAGCAGAGGGATAAGGGTTTGAGTTTTGAATTAAAATTCTCAGGAGAGTGAAGATCAGTCCACAGTTCAGAAATCAACTGCTGCTGTGCTGGCGGTTCAGGAGTGCTGGTGCTCACAGCAGGGTGTGCTGCCTCGCTGGCATGTGTGTGCGCATGCGTGTGAGCCCGTGCACAGGCGCAGGAAGCGCCCTGCCAAGGTGATCAGTCCCTGGTGCAGGTCCACTCTTTATTACCTTAAAGCTTGCAGTCACCACACTTTGATATAGCAAAAAAAGAAAAGAACAAAATTAATGGATCATTTCTATGAAAGAAAACTGGAAAAGTCAGGATTTCATGAGTGTTCAAACGCTTTGCTGTGGCAAACTCAGATTAATTTAGGTGCACAAAGTTAACTTAATGAT